TACAGATATATGAACTTCTTTTGTATAGCCTGGAAAATGGATTTAATCAACAGAAACATAGGCAGTTCTTTATTGTTGACACAGCAATGGCCTTTGTAAGAATATCCTGCAACTGATTTCAGTCCATTGAATTAAATTATTAAATTATTATTTTTGCAATAGTCAAAGTTATATTGTTTTTGCATGGTCTGATTTTGTGCAGCAGAAATAAAGAAATGATATTTAAGGTGAGTGTAGCACTAGTGCTGAAAAGATCAGTGAAATTGACATTTCGATTCTAAATATGTTTTCTTTTCTATAGATGCAAAGTGATCGTTGAAAATGCTTCTAAATGTCAGCATCTGATAAAAGCGTAGCACACACAGTGACTATGATAACTTTTTGTAGCAATAGAAATAGACTTGTTTTGAACATGAAAGATTAACTATAGAACATAGAAATAGCTGAAAACAACAGCAAAACAAGAAAGCATCTCTTTAAAGGTTGTAGTGAAGCAGGGGGTAAAAAGAGTTTAAAAATGTGCGTCTTCTCTCTCTCTCTCTCTCGAGGGCCTTCAGTTTCTTCCTGAGGTGAGAAATAGACAGAAAGTTTTACTATTGTACTAGTGGCCCAATTTGTACACTAACTGCTTTGACTGTTGTGTGATTTTTGCTTCTTCAGACCACTTGAAGTTTCCCTGGGTTGTGTTTAATAACCCTCAGCCCTTATGTTTCAGTAGCTATTTTTTGTTGTCTGTTTGGAAGCTTTCAGTTGCCCTGAATGGGTCACGACATTCATGACGTTATTGTAATTTGTTAAGCCAATATGAAGAAAAAAAGAGCTGGACTTACTGTAGTTTATAAAGACAAACTTTCTGTGGTGTATTTTGACCAAATCTCAATATCAACTTGATATAAATTTAAATGAAAATCAAATAAAACAATTTAAGTTGGGTTTTATGAAGCCTTAAATTGAAGTATGTTCTTATTATTAGACATGTGGAATTAATCTACATAAAAAGTAGAATAAAAAATTGTTGCTGCATGGAAGCAATTTCCTTAAGCAATACAAACTAATCAAACAAAATGATCCACCCTTCAGTTATGTTATGTAGCTTTAGAGCTAAAAAAAAAGTCTCCAACAAGTTTCCCTAAGCACTTTCTGTGAAATATTCTATATGGTTTACATTTTGAGTAGTTCTCTGCAGAGAACCCTCTAATGTGGTTTTCATTTCATCGAGTAGCAATGCAATCATAGACACTTTTAAGACTTTGTATTGGCATAATTGTGAACGTAATGATCTGAGCTTTTATTTAAGCTTTATATTACAACTACCGTGGGCTATTCCTCCTCGGCATTTTCTTTCTTTTCCTTCGCCTCCTTTCATCAAATTCTGCTCATTCTTTTTACAGCTCCTCTTATCCCCATTCCCTCCCTCTTGAGAGGAAGCCTTTGAGATAGATGTGTGCTCATGATTGGTCAGGGAAAAACCTTGGTGTGTAAAATGCACCAGTGTTTTATTGTATTTAGAAGGTCTGAAGTTACAGTCTGCACTGTACTCAGGAGGATTATTGTTATACTCCATCAGTTAAATGGTTAATTTAAGATGAAAAATGTGTTTTCTTGTCCTTTTTACTTTTTTTCTTTTTTTTCTTTTTTTTTGCTTGAAGAATAAGGAATAGAAGTAGACGTGTAGGTGCAATGATTTAAAGCGAGAAATGGGATGCAAATTCCATGATTATTCTTGTGACGCTCATGAACCACACGAAGCAATCGCTCAGCTGCAATGAATGTGTGACCTGATTTTTTTTTTTTTTTTTTTTTTTTTTTTTTTTTTTTTTTTTTTTTGTGGCTGGTAACCAGGGTGTGAATATCATTCCTGCATCTTTTTGAGTGGCACATAATTTTGTGAATATTTGCAGGACTGGATCATATAAGAGCACAAAAAGACATACATAAAATGTGAAGATTGCAAATATGAATAATAATTGGCAGAGTAGTGAAAAAACAACACAAAATAAATACAAAAAAACCCCACCAAATAATTCAGTAAGTCTGAAGTATTTATTTTTAACAAGATATTTCCTGTCCTTCAACTCTTCAAAGCTACTTTAAACTGCTAAACTCTTCAAATAGACCCCAGCTGGTATTGGGCATTTTGACCCCTTTACCAGATAATACCTTTTGAGATTTGGTCCCATTGTATCCGTAATATTAAATGTAAGAGGTTATCGTCTTCGTTCGGACATTTCATACCGTCTTTAATAACTTTGGCTAAAAGGAATATTATGCTCATAATTTTCTGCAAGTGTCTCTAACTCCAGCTACTTAGAGACTACAACTACTGTGGTGCAACTTTTAAACGCATCCCCACTCCAAGTTTATTAGTTTAAATGTGTTTGATCAGGACTAGATCTAAAAGCTGGTCTTTGGAAGACTGGAATTGGAGTTGAGGAAAAGTGTATCTATAAATGATATACACCCACTGGAGGCAGCTTAGATTTATTGTGGTTTGAACATGAATCAAAATGTCTTATATATCAGGGTTCAAACAGGCCAGGCTGGGACAGGATTGAAAATATATTGGAGTGGAGTGTAATTCAAAGTTTTCAGACAATGATGTTCAATTTAAACACCTTACACAAGAGATTTGAGTATCTTTATGACATAAGTCCTTCAAAAAAATTGTATTGCTTTAATGAAGTATTACAATAGTAACTAAACAGATTGAGAAACATAAATAGATACTATTTATTCTGTCTTGTTGAACAATCTCAGTTCTCTACCCCCTTTCTTGCTTGTATCTTCATGCCCATGTGAATTTGTCCTTGCAGTCATAAACCTTTACTTCTCTCAATGAGTTGTGGTAATAAAGAGAACTGCAAGTTGGAGCGGTTAACAAAAGACACCATCGGGACATGGGATCATCACTGAGTCTTCCAAAATGATGCATTTTATGGAAACAGGAAATAGACTCTTAAGAATCCACAATTACAATACGTGGTCCAAGGACAGGAACTGCAGCTGTCGACTTGTTAGCTTGATGGATGAGCTTATTCCTATTATTAATTTCCGTTTGTTTACACAAACGCTGATATTCTTTCATTGCAGGGCATTTATGGGCCTTCAAGTTTTTGCACCTTTTAGCAAAACTCGTTTCTTTAATGCTCAGCAGCCCATTTTGTCCTTCCGTTTTCACCATCAGCAACATTTAGGCAGCAAAAGCTCCCCACCAACAAGCCATGCTATAGATATATATCTGGACTGTGTTGCAATCCATCTTCATGGCTCATTAAAAATTCTGAGCACCCTGCCTGTTACTCAGGTGCTACTTTTGAGGGGCAAACCCCAATGGAATGAACCTCTGTTGTTGTGAAATTAATATTTGCACTTACTCCAAGTGCAGCTGTTGCAATACAAATCACATCTTTGCTGTGTTAGTATGGTGGAAGCTGAAGGCACCAGGGAGAATGTGCAATGGTCGGTATGGATTCAGTGATATTGCCTGTTCAGTGAGGAATAGATGGCTTATTAGTCATAAGTGCTCTCTCTTGTATTATGGCACACACACTTACCCAGTCAAATGTTGTGTGATGAATTTTTAAATTGCTTCTGTAATCATTCCAGTGGAGGTCATTCATGCAGGCTATCAGGCATTTAAAACATGTTTATGCAGCACAATCATCGTTTCAGCATATGCCAAGATGTTCGTTAAACTAGGTATCAAAGTCCTTTGTAGATTAAAATTTGAGAATGAAATTGCTGAGATGAATTTCTTATGTTGACAAGATATTACAGAAAATATGAGTGCATATTGCTGTATTTCTTCACACTACTTAAGAGAATTCCAGACAGACATGAAACTATCTTTAAAATTCTGAGACAAGCATCTAAAGAAAATTCTGTTACTTTAATTTGGTGGTATGTACATTAGTTACAAGTAGTTTTTCAGACTCCTTCAATCAATACATCTTACTGAGACTTTGAAGCAAGAGATTATCTTTTAAGTACAAAAGTATCAGGCAGACCTAACCAGAACCAAAGGACAGCAGTATGGACATTGTTCCCAGGGTGTAAACACATCAGCTTGGCATGTGAGGTTATTTCAAAAGTTGTTTTATATTTATTTTTCACACCAAAGTTGCAACCATCTTTCAGGCCACAGTGTTGTTTCCATGCAGTCTGTGCAACACAGCTAATGAGAGTGCAGCACAAAACCTGGGTATAATTTACATAAATTACCAGTAAATATCAATTGTTGTTTTCATTATATAATTTTACAATTTTAATCTATAAAAGCATTTGAGAACTGTGAAAATGTTACTGCTGCATACAAAAACACACCTTGATTTTCATAACTGTAGCAGTCATGACTTTTCCAGCAAACACAGCAAGGAGTTGATTGTGCTGCTTCTCTCTGATGTTGAAGCTTCTTGTGCTCCTTCTTAAGCAACGTTAACAAGGCACTGAGTTATTTTGTACCCTCTTATCACATCCATAATCCTGCAAACATAAAGCATTGTGTAATGCTATTTTCATAGGAACAGATTTTTTTTTTCCTGGAAAGAGAAAGAGAAAACCAATCAAATCAATATGTAGTACACCCAAGTGAAAGCACAAAGCAGTCTGAATGAAGATTAGTAGCTTGGCACCTTTCTTTTGTATTTATGAAATGAGTTGATTGAATTCAAATATCATCAAAGAAGAACACAAACGTAAATTTATCATGAGCCACATAATAATTGGTTAGCTAAATGTTTAGATTTTCTGATATTTTCTGTTACACCCGTGATATATAATTATATTAATACAAAAGTTACAACTTTTTTGAGTTTTCTGTGATTAATATCAACTGAAACATGTATTTCACACTGTATTCCAACTTTACTTTTCTTATGTTGCGACAATTTAATTTTTGATTGCCTCGTTGCTATACAAATTTACCTGGCCTAAAATGGACACTGTTCATTTGCTTGCTGAACTAACCTGACTGTCTTCCATCCATCTGTTTGTTTTTGCAGTATGAGTTCAAGGTGAAAAACATCAAGAAGAAGAAAGTTAATATCGTTGTGTCAACAGACGGAGTCAAGGTTACCTTGAGAAAAAAGAAAAAAGTGAGTGATTTTATTTTCTTCTTTCTCTTTTGTTTTGTTTTTGTTTGTTTAAAGCAAGACCTTTAAACGGACAGAGCCGCGAATGTTGCTGTTTTTTGTTGGATTGTATTAACATGAAGAGGTGGCCTTTCACATTCCAAAAATTCAGAACTTCAGCAACACCACTTCTGTAAATATACTTAAAGACCATTTCTTTATTTATATATATAAAACCCTTTAGTTGGAATATAATCCTTGTGATTAGAACTTCAAAATGAGTAGTAGTGTGTATAATTTAGGAATTTGTCCTATTTTAATTTAATTAATTATGCAAATTATTTATGTAAATTTGATTACAACAAAATAAAGAAAAAATTATTTGGGCTGATTAGATGTCTGCGTGTGTCTGACAATTAATGCTTGCAGGCGTCTAATCAGTCAAGCATGGGGCATAAATAGTAAGGATACAACTTGTCCATAACAACAGAGAACATAGAAAACAAGTGAGTAAAACTAATTTCATATTTTTAATCCACTGGCAACCCTGGGTGCAGTTTCTAATGTTTACCTCTTTTGATGTTTGTTACAAAAACATAACTTCAAGCATGTGTATTCTTAGACATTTAAAAACTTTTAAAAATATGTATAGCCTATTTAAGTATTAAATCACATACTATTTATTCCAAATTTATGTGAAACTTTAGCACATGCAGAGACAGAAACAGACTGGGCAGATGTCCTGATGAATTAAGGAGTTATTCTTTATTCAGTCCAACTAATTAGTGGGTAGAGTTGAGGAAGTATGTCTGAACAAGATTGTCTAGTGATTTGTGTAAATTTACCCTGTTTCTGGGGCCAAAACTTCAATCTCTAATATTCAGAGATATTCTAATCTGACTAATGGAAATAAAGACATCACTAACAAAATATGTACCTCTGAATTTCTCCCTCAATTAAAGAGAACTGAAAAAAAAATCACTTTTTTTTTTGAAAATGTCAAAACAAAAAGTCTGATAAAAAGATCTGATAGGTATTACAAAAACATAATAAAAGCAAAATGTGAAAAAAAAAAGATGGTCATTAGTAGATGACCATGATGATTTGCCATGATAATAGATGATTTGTCATAACCTGCTGCCTTGTCTTCTAAAATCTGAAATGTCACATTCCAGCCAGTGAGCTATTTACATGTCAGAGGATGGCAGGAGCACTGACGGGTTGCGGATGAGAGCTATTGAATGACTCAAGTCAACAAAGCCCTCTGTGGAGACAGAAATCAATATGAATAATTCCTGTGTCCCTGTGGGTTGACATTTTGATTGTGACCTTAAACTGAAAGGTGGATTTAATCAAATGCACAAATAAAAATAATAATGAAAAGCACACATCAACTCTTCTTAAATATATGTTTATTTACACTGGTTTTCTTCTATTGCATGCAATTAGGGGTGTGTCTTTCTTCACATTTTGTCACATTACATTTACCAAGTACAATTTACTTTATTTTGTAAGCATTGCATACTTGTCAAAAGAAAAAACAATGATAAAAGTTTTTAAAAATGAAATGTATCACAACTGCAAACACGCTAACACATGACCATCTATTTACTCTGACAGCCCAAACAAATACATTATTATTCAGAAAGAAACCAGGAGGTGGATGAAAGGGGTGAACATGCACACTACTATTTAAAAATTTCATTTTACAAGAATTTGCTACCTTATGTTGTCCCTCCTAAATACATTCGCATTTATGTACTGTGATACAATGTGGAAGGGTTTTAGAATTAGGTCTAAATTACGCTTCTGGTTTGCTTACAGAAGAAAGAGTGGACCTGGGATGAGAGCAAGTTGATTGTAATGCAGGATCCAATTTACAGGTAAGATTACCTGAGCGTCTTCTAACATAACGTTAAATTAAGCTCTTCTAATAAGTGGAGTTTTTAAAGGATTCTTCAAACGGCGGCAGTTCTTTTGTTGTCTTCCACCTACGGAATTTTATCTGAACTTGATTAAACATTCTGAGCTTGTTCAAAAATGTGAAAATTTTCTCACACCTACCTTTGGACATTTTGGAGAAACAGATACGGTAGCTCTTTGATGTTCACTTTTACTGATCTAACAATGTTTTATTAAAGCACTGAAGATTGTGGAGGAGATTTTACACAACATAATACATTTTGTGGGTGTATGTTTTGACACAAGGCACCAAAAAATACCACATCACCTCAACATATAAGAATAGAAAAATAGAAATATGAAAAAAAAAAACTGAGAAAATGTTTTTAGGAAGCTCTGATTTGTTGTAGTTCAAAATACTAAAACCTTTCATCTGATGGAATTCATTGACTGAACATTAGCTTTTTATTTACATTAGATTTTTCACAATACTTTGTCAGACATTTGACAGAAAGAAAGTTTCCTATCTCAGATGCCATGTGTCTCACTTATGTAAATGGTAATTGCACAAAACCAACATTATCTGCAAGCTGCATATGAAATAGATGTTGGATTGAAAATTTTAAAATCTGTATTCAAAAGGTTGTGGAGGTGTTAAAGTTGCATTAACAATGCAGCCCATGACAGACTTCAGACTGATTGGGAGATAGATGAGCAGTATACTTAGAGGAAATATGTCACGAGAATTTAATTACAAGTGTGTTTATGTAGTCGGAGGGCATATCCATTAGCCTGGCATGCCTGCAGGCTGTTCTCATTACTCAAGGCTATGGCTATAGCCATAATCTTGAGTTAATTCAATTCATTTGCTGTAGGGGTGTTGACCTTTAAATCAGCTTCCTGTTGTCTGTCAATACACACAAGCATAAAGTTTCACCACCCAAAGAGGCAGTTTATGATGGATTTATGTGTATATCTATATATATATATATATATATATATATTATATATATATATATATATATATATATATATATATATATACAAATGACTGATGTGTGTTTTAGCTTGTCCAACTGAAACATGTTGTGACCTTTATAGGTTTGACGGAAGAACGGAAGTGTATGATTAAAGCAGTAAATACTGTTTATATTCCATAGAGAAGAAAGAATAAAGTTGAAACCTATTTGTGCCACACTTTAAATTCTGCATTGGCGCACACTGACACACCCCTCCCAGCCGGTACAGCTCTGAAGCGCATCCAGGAGCCCGTTGGGGGTTGGGGCTTTTGGAAATGATTCTGTCAGAAAGATGGATTCAGCCCTGCTGTCTGAGTAAGCATCTCTCAGCTTGGGAGTTTTGTTTGGTTGGAGACGCTATGACTTGCGCCACACATCTTTCTTTGATTTTTTTTTTTCCCCCTCTTTTACTATTACAGTAACAAAGTTCTCCAAAAAGAAAGAACTGTGTGATGGCACAGTTTGCCATCACAGTGTGAGGCAGACTGTGATGGATATGCCATGTCCATCAGTCACTGTTTCTTGTTAAAGTGAGTCTGACATGTTCTCAGATCTGTTTGACTCAGTTCAGGGATGATTGTCCCCACTATTCCCTCATTCTTTCAATACGGACCTATAAAGCCCTGCTTTAGTTGCTTGAAGATACTTACATATTCCCAAGGGCTGACATGAATTGGATTGTCTTTAGTTTGTCCAAGTTTAAAAATTCTCTACAATGGCGTTTAATAACAACTGTCTTGATGGATGAATGAATAGATTTGTATGGACAGAGGGCACCATGAAGCCTGGATTGTCTGCTATTGCATATTCTTTGTAACTGCAATTCCATGACAGGTTCATGATGACTTTGACCTCTTCCTGTCAAATTTCTGTCATCACTTTAACCATTTTGACTCATTTTTTGCATATTAGCTTGCCTTATTTTTTTTGCATATTGGATAGAGCAAAATGTTGATGGGAGGATATTAGGCTTTTTTTATTTGTCTGTTTATATAACTATATGTCAAGGATGAACATTACATGTATTTCCTTTTCCCAACCTTTTTTTTCTGTCTCTTGTGAACACAGTTATAAAAATTGTCATCAATAAATCGGTGTAGAAAATGATAACTTGCAGTGACAGCATGTCAACAGAACAACAGAAAATATATATTTTTGTGTCCAGTGTTTTGCAAAAAGTGCTGATCTTTGAAAATGTGAAACATTTTACCCTAGCTGTGATTTACTTAAACAAATGGCAGATTATCTTCCAGAAGCCTTTATACTGTTTAATTTAATTTACTCAGCAGCGTAATTTCAAGAGCAGATCTTTCTTTGCATTTAGTTTAAGAATTGTCAGATGCACCAACTGTTAATAGAGGGTGTCTAAAGTTATTGTGCTCATAACCTGCATGTTTTAGTTCCCTTCCTCCTCAGCATATCAATGCTCTGCAGAGGACTGCTAATGAGCCGTCATTTGATTCAGCTAAGTTGCACCAAGAAGAGAACTAAAATACGCAAAGACGACTGACGTTGGACACCCATGTTTTCATGTATTCAAGTTAAGCAATACCACAACTTTTTTCAACCTTGGATTCATTCAGGCTGTTGTGTAAATTTTGCATTTCCTGTGTGTGATACTGAGTGTTGTTTCAGAGCTTAATTTCAAATGCTGACCCATTATTATAAAAGGGAGATATGTCCATATAAAGGCTTTGGATAACTTATCAGCCAAGAATTCATTAGAAGGCTTCATAGGGTCATGTTATAAAACAGTGTGTAAATTAAACCTTTTGGCTCAAAATATGAACAATATGTTTCAAAAGGCTAATCTGATAAATATTCATGTGTCTTTATTTTTATGAATGTGAGGAAAAACATACATTTCAAAGACCCTGGATGGTTTTAAACACCCTTGTGAGGATTGTTGATTTTTTTTTCAGATGATGAAGAGCTGGGCACTTTAAATCAGAATTATGTGTGAGGGTTTCCTAAATGCTTAGCATATTTCTTTTTGTAAATTCCTTTTCATGTTCAGCTGCATTTTAGTCTAAGCTGAAAGCTGCCTGCCACTGAATCTATCCATCACTTCATATTAAAAAAACACACACACAAAAAAAAAAACACCTTGCCAGTATGTGGGTGACACGGTCATCATGTTCAGTAATATCTATTGTTCAGTTTAAACTCTGCCAACACCAAAAGATGTAGTCTGATAACTGTCTGGTGATGGCTGTCACATTAACTGTTATTATTCCAATTCTTGTAAAAATGCAAAACTGATATTTAAAGCCAAGAGTTGTCAGAAGCAGTTCTTTGTCCATCATCCTCGCATTAAATATCAGATAACTGGGGGAGAAGCTATATTAGGATTTCAAAGTAAAACGTTAGGAAGAGCTACTTTGGAGATTTTCTTTTAAAAGGTGGAATTATATTCTGGTTGATGTGGATACTGAAACTACTGTAGACAGTTGCTTGCATTGCTTTTCTAACAGATAGGCATTATGAAATATGTGGCTGCCATTTAAATAAGTGAACTAAATAATGCCAGAGCTAGATGATGGTATTGAGGTGGCATGTGTTTACCTTTCTAGAAGTGACTAAAGCTCTCTTTTTAAATTTGTAGTATTCATCACTGCTTATGTGATACAACATAATAAAATGATCTTTTTCACTTTATCTTTATGTATTTGATGTAATAATCATAGTACTGTAATATACAAAAACAAGTTAGTTGTTTTGTTTTTTTTACAGTGTTTACACATTTTCCCTTGAGGTATCAACTAACGTGGAGGGTTTTTGTTTTTCATGGTAAAATAAAAACAAAAACCCTGAAGCGATTCGGGGGAAAAGGACTGGATATAATTTGTTTATGGCCATCATCTTTTTGTGTTGGGTTTGAGACCAAGGTTCAAAGATGTCAGATTTTTTGTTTATAGCCCCCAGTCTATCTACTATCATTTGCAATCACTATAAATCCTAGATATATAACATTTTAGAACAGAATTAGTAAGTGAGTTTTTTGGGTAGAAAGTAAAAATCAGGGAAAAGTTGGATGTTTTTTCTTTATGTGTGTGTAGATGTCAGTCCTGGTTGTAATTTCTCTGGGCTTCAGCTGTGGTAATTGCTGTCAGCCTCCATGAAGCTGCCTGCCCTCGCTGCCTGCGAACAGTCTGTCCTAAAACTGCTCAGCTCTGCCCTTCCTTCTTACTTCAAACCTTCCAGAGAGAAATTCACACCCAGCCAATTAGAGTCAAACTTCTGTTTGTGCGTATGTCAGAAACTCCTTGATTATCTGATATTTGAAACATGTTCCGATGTAAAGTATACACACACACACCCACACACGCACACGGAAGCACATTTTGCTTTGATATTTGAACTGATTACACACATGCACACATTTTCCCAATGCAGTATTGCCTAATGCAGTCTCTGTCTTAGCTGAAGCTCAGGCTTTTGTACTTTTAGATCACAGCCTAATCGGGTTATTTGATGAAATCTTTTAGCGTATTAACTGCACTGAAGTAAAACTCTGGGGGACGGGAGGAAAAGAGCACGCCATTTTCACTGGACTGAAACACCCTTCAATGATACCATCTGATGGCTCTATTACCCCAATGCACACCAAAACAGTCAAGCAGCTTTTGTATCCACAGTTTTAGTGTAATGGAAATGAGGAGCAATATATGTATATCACAGTTTTTTTTTCTTCTGATAGATTTATACACAAGAAAAAAAGTCTAATAAAAGGTCTATGTATCATTTTTGAGTAGTGCAAAGCTTTCTTAAAGTAGTCCCTTTAAATTAATCAATAAGATATGAACTCAATACCAAAAGTTGCTTTCTCTTAGCTTCTTTAAACTTTTTCAACAAACTTACAAAAGTTAGATGAATGACAAACACACTAACATTTCACTATAATTGATATTTCTATGCAAGTTTGTTAAAGCACAGTAAGTGGGTTGAATTAAAATTCAGTA